TATATATATATATATATATACCACATCTTCTTTATCCATTCATCAGTTAATAGACATTTAGGCTCTTTCCATAATTTGGCTATTGTTGATAGCACTGCTATAAACATCGGGGTGTCTGTGCCCCTTCTAATCAGCATTCCTGTATCCTTTGGGTAAATTCCTAGTAGTGCAATTGCTGGGTTGTAGGGTAATTCCATTTTTAATTGTTTGAGGAACCTCCACACTGTTTTCCAGAGTGGCAGCATAAGTTTGCATTTCCACCAACAGTGCAGGAGGGTTCACCTTTCTCCACATCCTCACCAACATCTGTTGTTTCCTGAGTTGTTCATTTTAGCCACTCTGACTAGTGTGAGGTAGTATCTCAATGTGTTTTTGATTTGCATTTATTTCCCTGATGATGAGTGATGTTGAGCATCTTTTCATGTGTCTGCCATCTGGATGTCCTATTTGAAAAAGTGTCTATTCATGTCTTTTGCCCATTTCTTCATTGGATTATTTGTTTTTCAGGTGTTGAGTTTGGTAAGTTCTTTATAGATTTTGGATTAACCCTTTATCCAATATGTCATTTGCAAATATCTTCTCCCATTCTGTCAGTTGCCTTTTTTTATTAAAAAATTTTTTTATTTTAAAAATAAAATTTATTGTCAAATTGGCTAACATAACAGTGTGTAAAGTGTGTTCTTGGTTTTTGGGGTAGATCCCCATGGTTCATCGCTTACGTGTAACACCCAATGCTCATCCCAACAAGTGCCCTCCTCAATGACCAGCACCCATTTTCCCTCTCCCCCACCTCCCCATCTACCCTCAGTTTGTTCTCTGTATTTAAGAGTCTCTTATGGTTTGCCCTCCTCCCTTTCTGTTTGTAACTATTTTTTCCCTTCCATTCCCCTATGGTCTGCTGTTGAGTTTCTCAAGATCCACATAAAAATATGGAAGCTTCACGAATTTGCGTGTCATCCTTGCACAGGGGCTGTGCTAATCTTCTCTGTATCCTTCCAATTTTAGTATATGTGCTGCCGGAGCAAGCCCTGTCAGTTGCCTTTTAGTTTTGTTGATTGTTTCCTTTGCAGTGCAGAAACTTTTATCTTGATGAGGTCCCAATAGCTCATTTTTGCTTTTATTTCCCTTGCCTTTGGAGACATGTCAAGTAAGAAGTTGCTGTGGCTGAGATAAAAGAGGTTGCTGCCTGTTTCTCCTGTAGGATTTTGATGGTTTCCTGTCTCACATTTAGGTCTTTCAGCCATTTTGAATTTATTTTTGTGTATGGTGTAAGAAAGGGGTCCAGTTTCATTCTTCTGCGTGTTGCTGTCCAGTTTTCCCAGCACCATTTGCTAAAGAGACTGTCTTTTTTTCCAGTGGATACTCTTTCCTGCTTTGTCAAAGATTAGTTGGCCATATATTTGTGGGTCCATTTCTGGGTTCTCTATTGTATTCCATTGGTGTATGGTCTGTTTTTGTGTCAATATCATACTGTCTTGATGATTACGGCTTTGTAAAATGGCATTTAGCCATTTTTTTAAAGAGTAGGTCAGCTGGAGACAAATTCTACTTGTTTTTCTTCATCTGATAACATCTTGATTTCCCCTTCATTCCTAAAAGATATTGTTGCCAGATATAGAAGCTAAGGTTCATAATTTTTTTTTTCCTTTGGCCCTTGAAAAATGTACCAATTTCTTCTGGCTTCCACGTTTCTGATGAGAAACTGGCTGTTCTTTGAATGGTTTTTCCACTATAGCTAAGGTGTCTTTTCTCTATCACTGCTTTCAAAATTTTTCTTTTGTTTTCAGAAAGGTAATTACAATGCATCTTAAGGTGGTTTTCTTCGGTTTTATCCTCTTTAGCTTCTTGAATCCTAGGTTCATGTCAGTTGGCAAAGTTGGGAAATTTTCAGCCATTGTTTCTTCTACTACTTTTTCTTCCCCATACTGTTTCTCCTCTTCCTCTGGGACTCTGATGAAATGAATGCTAGATCTTTTGTTAGTGTCCTACATATACCTGAGGCTCTACTAATTTCTTTCTGTTTTCTGTTTTTTATATTGGGTAATTTCCATGTTCTGTCTTCAAGTTCACTGACAAGCATATATTTCCTCTCTTCCCTCCATTCTGATAGCGAGCCCATTCACTGAGTTTTTAATTTCATTTTTTGTATTTTTCAGAACTAAAATTTCCATTTGGTTCCTCATATATTCTATTTCCTTTTTTTCTTAAAAAAAAAAACTTTAGAGAGAGAGAGAGAACATGCAAGCTAGGTAGAGGAGCAGAAAGAGAGGGAGACAGATAGAAGCTTAAGCAGGCTCCACACTCAGCATGGAGCTTGACGTATGGGTCAATTTCATGACCCTGGGATCATGACCTGGGCTGAAATCAAGAGTCAGATGCTTAACCAACTGAGGCACCTAGACAAACCTTCTATTTCTTTGCTGAGACTCTTTTTATCATTTGTTCTAAGTTTATTTATAATTTCTCATCACAATATATTCATTATGTCCTTATCAGATAATTCCAACATCTGTGTCATCTTGATATTCGCATCTGTTGATTATCTTTTTTTTCATTCAAGTTGAAATTCTTTGGGTTCTTGGTATAACTAATGATTTTTAAGTTGTAATCCTTGATATTTTAAGACCCTGAATCTTATTTAAAGCTTCTGTTTAAGCAGAACTCCTCTGACATTGTGCTGGTGGGGGTGGTGGGGAACTGCCTTGTTACTACCAGGTTGAAGTAAAGAAGTTCAGACTCTTCCCTGGCCTCTGTTGATAGCCCAGGTGGTGGGTGGGGGTGCCTTGTTACTCTTCCACAGATGGCCCTCGGTGACACCATGACGGGGGCCTCATTACCACTGTGCTGTGTGGAGGTCCTGGCTCTCCACCTGGGCTTTCTTTGACACTACCCACCCATCCTGGCTTTATTACAGCCAGGTGAGGGTGGAGTCTAGGCTTCCTGCTCAGCCATTGCTGTAAGGGGTAGAAATGGGCCTTGTTTTTTGTTTGTTTGTTTGTTTGTTTGTTTGTTTTTGGTAGCATTTGGCTGGAGCGGTGCAATTATCGTCTAAAATTATTGCACCTTCGTAGGCTGCCCCTTCCGGTGTCCTTTGGCTACAGAAGCATTTTCTTTTG